CCCCAAAACCCCAAAACCCCAAAACCCCGGAGAATAAATATTTAAGAATTTGGTAGGCTTAGAAAACTTCAATTATTATGTAAAATATACTTCTGTTATTAATTAGCATTTTAACAATTTAAACAATGGAAGTGCAACCTAAGACTGTCGAAGATCAAACATTTAATGACTATAATGTACCTATTTTCAGTTAATTCACCTACTCATTCCCCAACATGGAAAAAACGCAAATGAAAGAACTTAAATAGTTCATTAAAGTCCAATTGCAGTTACAAGAACTCTATGTTAATTATGTGAAGAATGTCTAGAACAGTAGTAATTAGGAGGCACTTGAAAATGGTCATTCTGATGCTCAACTTTAGAACAGTCATTTTGATATTGCGTAGATTTAGAAAGTTTTATACAAGCCTCTCGTTATTGTTGGACCATCAGGAGCTGGAAAAGTAAGCTTATAGAAGTTGTAATAATCTTTAGGGAACATTAATTGATCACATTGTAACTAAATACTCAGACAAGTTTGGCTTTAGTGTTTCATACACTACTAGAAACCCAAGAGTCGGAGAGGTCCACGGCAAGAACTACTACTTTGTTTCCAAAGAGGAATTCTAAAAAAAGATCGAGAATAATGATTTCATAGAATACTGTCAAGTGCACACCAATTTCTATGGCACCGAAAAAGCTTAAGTTAGAGACTTTTAGAAGAGTGGTATTATTCCTCTGCTAGATATAGATATTTAAGGAGCTAAGAAAGTATATGCAGCCTTCCCAGAAGCTAACTTCATATTTATTTGCCCACCTTCAATGTAGGAGCTGAAAAACAGACTCGTAAAGAGATCAACTGATTCTGAGGAATAAATCTAGATCAGACTTAGAAACGCTGAGAAAGAAATATCAGAATGCCTTTACTCAAAGCAAATGATTTAGTACAGAATAGTTAATGAAGACCTTAATAAGTCATTCCAAATTTTCACTAAGTTAATTGAGGCTCTTTATGACAATGAACTCGGTCTTGTTTCAGATTAAAGTGAGCCTGCTTAAATAAATGGACAATATATAATTGATCTATGAGATTGATAATGAGTAAATCTCTTGAACACAATAAATTGACTGTTTGATCAATATGAAAAACTTAGCTATATATTAAAATGCCTCTTTTAATTATGTATTAATTAATAACTTTACATCACCTTTGAAGATAAACATATGTTATAGTTGAGGGGTTTTGGGGTTTTGGGGTTTTGGGGTTTTGGGGTTTTGGGGTTTTG